TATTTCATTTTCACGTATCAGCATACATTGATGAATGTATGCTGATATGGCTCTTTGTAGAGACGCTGATTTTGAATTGATTAAGAACATAAAACGACCGTCAGCGCTCAAATTGTTGATCATGAAATATCATGAAATATCTGCTAAAACTCACCACTGCATGGCGCACAGCAATGTCATCAGGGCTCAGTTGTACGAAGGGTAGATAGTGCCTTCAAACGGATAAATCTAATCCAGTGGTTAAATTTATTGGATAACGGCATCAACATATCCACTGGATAAGGATTTATCCATCATATACGGCAATATCCACCTTAAGTACAACTGGACTCAGAAGAATAACTTTCCTGGAGAAGTCAATATTGTATTTTTTTAGGTTCCAAACTGGTTCCACTATTCCTGCTTCTTCAAGAAAATAAAACCAGCATCTGTCAGTGATATAGCTGGGGTTGATTCACTCCGGTGGGAAGACCAAGAAAAGATTAAAAATAATGTTGGTGGAGCAACTAAGAGTGGAGCAGCTTCATCTTCCACAAACACAACAAAGCTAAAGGAAGATAAAGATTTGATTGCAGAATATGCTAAATCAAGCAGGAGCTCCTGCAAAGGATGCGAAGAAAAGATTGAAAAAGTAAGCCATTTTAGAACATGTCTAAAAATCACCTGAACCTTAAAAACATTCAAATTTTATCAATTTTGTGAAACGAACTTTTGCTGATCATTAGGTCAATGCATGACATAACTCACATGTCTAATTGGAAATTTTGAACCCTTATACTTGGTAATTTTGTATGGATAAACTTTTTGAGCTATATTTTGTCTGAGTCTTTATTCATTTATATCATGTTTGATTGTCACTACTTCAGGGTGAACTTCGTCTTGCTAAAATGATGGAGCCTTCAGCGGAATCCAATGCACCAATGGGAATTGGTCTGATTCCTCGATGGCACCATGTTGACTGTTTCGTAGAAGAATGTGAGAACTTAGAGGTAGACTCTAGTATTACAGCAGAATGCTTTACGGGATTCAATAAGCTTGAAAAGACAGATCAAGATATGTTGAAAAAGAAACTTGGAGCTTCGAAAGACAAGAAAAAATCATCTGGGAAGGGAAAGAAACGGAAGGTGGAAGAAGAGGAAAAACCACAGAAAAAGCAAAAGACTGCTGAAGAAGAAGCTGAAGAAAAAGCATTAAAGGTTTAATGAGAAAAAAAGATGATTGTATTATGAAAGGGGGTGAGGGAGTTTTAGAAGTGATATGTGGTTGTGAAGGACATGAGCAAAGAATCAGTTAGATATAACAAGGAAATCATAGGTTAACATTGGTACAAACAGAGCAAGATCTTGGCTAAGGGAATAGTGATATTAAGATGTACAGTATATGACTTGTACTTAATCGAAGGGATGCCATAGTGAGAATCCAATGTTCTTGAATAAATTCTCTTGTCATGATTTTTTCTTTTTCATTTCCAGGAACAAAGTAAATTGGTATGGAAGATAAGAGATGAATTAAATGATAATTGCCCTCTTATGGTTCTGAGACAAATGCTAGAAGATAATGGACTCAGTTCTCAGGGTGGAGAAGCATCTGTAAGTTATTACTCTTATAAAGCTATAAAACAGCCTGTTGTGGTCACATTTAATTTTATTACTCCCTAGTTTTTCTAAAGAAAGTTTGTACTATGAGTGTTACACATATATATTAGAATGGTTTTCATTAACCCATGAAACAAAGTGAACTAATAGTCACAGTGAGTGTAATAGTCACAAAAAGACAAAATAAAACACAAGAATTATTATGATGTACAGTGCTTAATATACTTAAGTGTATTTAAAAGGTTTATGAAAACCACTCTACAGAAGTGATCAACTTCTTATCCTATATTTCTTTTGTATGTAATTTTAGCTTCTTGATCGCTGTGCTGATGGCATGGCTTTTGGAAGACTTCTTCCCTGTGAGGAATGCAACAATGGAACCCTTGTTTACAGGTCAGAATACCCTCATTAGTGATCTTAGGACTAAATAGACCTAATTCTTGGTGCAATGTTTTAACCCTTACAGACCATGTCTTATTCCTTTAAAGATTTAAGATTCTTTGTTTGAGTTGTATCGGCATTCCATATTCATACATCTTCTCAAGTGATCATTGATGGAATGATACTATTGAGAATAATGACATGTGATTTGAATTGGGAAAGCATTGCACCAAGATTAATTTTCCTTCTATTAACGGCTGCTGGATATCCAGATATGATCATTAGCTATTAAGATTGGAATGATAAGAAGTGAACATTTAAGAGGTCTAACTGGCTGCCCTAAGAGGCATTTGACCAGACAAGAGCTAATTTTGGCCAGACAAGAGTCAATGTTGGCCAGACAAGAGCCAATGTTGGCCAGACAAGAGTCAATGTTGGCCAGGCAAGAGCCAATGTTGACCAGACAAGAGCCAATGTTGGCCAGACAAGAGTCAATGTTGGCCAGACAAGAGTCAGTGTTGGCCAGGCAAGAGCCAATGTTGGCCATACAAGAGCCAATGTTGGCCAGACAAGAGTCAGTGTTGGCCAGACAAGAGCCAATGTTGGCCATACAAGAGCCAATGTTGTCCAATTGTCAAGACATTAAATATTGTGTCCTGTCTTTACAAACAAACACACAGATTCTCAAGAGGGTTCCACAGCTCATGGACAACAGATTTATAGTATTTTTGATGTCAAGTTGTTTTTTAATGTAGACATGACTGCTATGGCTGTACAGGCAATATGTCAGAATGGACAAAGTGTATGTTTGTTACTCAAGACCCTAAAAGAGCAAACTGGGTTATTTCAAAGGAACTGAAGGAGGAGGTGGAATACTTGTAAGTAGAATTATTAATAGTAGAATATGAAATATTTGGGAGAGCTAAAGCCGATTGTTTGATTTTTATCCATTTATTTATTCATTGCATTCATCCATCCGTCTGTCAATCCATAAAGTCATTTTTTGTCTCAACAGGAAAAAATTCAAATTTGTCAAGAGAAAAAGACTCTTCCCAAAGGCTTCTGCCTTGGCCTTGGCACAGAAAGCTGATGGTTCTGAAACAGCTTCATCGTAAGTCAGTCATTTTTGAAATTAATAGTTTAGTATGCAGGTTTATTGCTGTATAAAATGCACTAAACCTTACACACACTTCAACTCGACGGCTCAACCAACGACTATGATAGTCGTCATGGAAAACTGACGCCATCAAAGTGTATGCATCAATTATATATTTCCATATGAAAATCACAATCTCTACACAGGTGTATTACATTCTTTTTGTACTAAGACTTCATTTTTGTAGGAATTCAGCTCCTCCTGATAAACCTCTATTCAACCAGAAAATAGCTTTAATTGGAAAACTCAAGAAGAGCAAGGTACTTGTGTTTTCTCAGGAATATTATTTGGTTATAAGATTGAATATTGAATTTGTTGTCTTGTTTCCAGGCAAATATTACTGAGGTGATTGAAAGCCTTGGTGGAAAGGTTGTGGAGAAGGTCAGCAATAATGTGAGCTGTTGCATTAGTTCTGCAGGTAAAAGATCTTATATTACAGTGTACCAAGACTTGTAAGTGTCTTCTTAGACTATTTTAGCTTGGGAATAATGTTTTAGACCACTTGCCATCCCTTGAGTATCATTTCTTTGTTTAGCAGTTGTGCATGAGAAGACACATGAATACTGATACTAGTCAAACAATGAATCTTATTGCCAAGAGATTGACATCTGGTCAGAAATGGGAAAAAGTTATGCACAAACTATAAGGGGTCTTTAACCCACAATGGTCTTCTATTTATTGTGTATGTTAGCTGAAGTAAACAAACAAAGCAAAAAGATGAAAGACGCAGAGTCTGCAAACATACCTGTTGTGTCAGAAGAATGTCTTGATGCTGTTAAAAGTGGTGGCGCCGTGTTAAAGATATCACAGCACAGCATTGCACCCTGGGGTAACAACAAGGTAATGCTCATTGGTTGGTTCAATGCATTTGAAAGTCGATTCAAATCAAATCAAATATAGCATTACAATCAATCAATCAACCACTCAATTTATTAACATGACGCCCTCCAGAAACAGGTCCTTTTTGATAAAAGGACCACCTCAAGAGTTTGGAAGCAAGTTGAGGATCTCCTCCAGATAGATCCAATGCAAGCCAGAAAAATGATGATAGACAAAACCAAGTTCAAACATCTGCTCAGAGGACGTTTCCCGGAGCAGTTGTTCCCTAAGGCCAAGAGCGGGCCAAGAGGGAAAACCTGATGATTATGATGATAATGTGCAGGATAAGGTTGCCCTTGATATCCGAGGCTCATGTATATAACGTATGACATCACTGGGTTTATGATTTCAGGGAGTCAGTACAGTTGATGGACCTCCTCCTTCACTCAAGAAAAAGTCGTCAAGCTCTCATTTCCCAGCAGGTAACTTAGCAGTGATTTATCAGCTGTTGTTCTTCTAGTATAAGAGTCTAAGTTGTTGGTATTCTCATAGGTGATATAGAAAAGAAGATTAAGTTATCAGTGAAAGGAGGAGCTGCAGTTGACCCAGAATCAGGTAAATAACAAAAGCAAAAACAACACCACCACCACCACCACCACCACCAACAACAACAACAATGATAGTAGTAACATTAGTTACAAAAAAATTGAGTTGAATTAAGTACGAGAGCAGAAGCAGCAGCATTATTATCATATGATTGACAACAACCCAACAAACAAATTAACATCGGCAAAAATAGTAGCTGTAACAGTTCAATGTCAACAACAACACTGCAGCAATAGCAACAACAGCTGTGTCTTAGTAATGACAAGAACCAGATGTTCTCGGTTCTACTGCTGTTGATTTACTGAGCAGAAAAATTAACACTGCAAACATTATATGCAGTAGAAGCCTATTAATGGTCAACAACGTGTGTATAATAACTGCTTCTATCCTGCCATTGTCTACAATATAAACTCCACTGCAAATACTTCAGGTAAAGAGGACTCCTGTCACGTGCTTCAAGTCAAAGGAGACATCTACAATGCCATATTAGGACTAGTAGACATCGTGAGGGGAACCAACTCCTACTACAAGCTTCAAATCCTTGAGAAAGATCATGGACCAAAGTAAGAACCTCAATTGCGCATGGTTTTTAGCATTGTTTTTTTTTTTCATTATAATTACCTAGAAATAGTTTTCAATATTTGCTGCAAATGTTGCTGTCTGTTGACACTAATTTTTTCCTTTCCTTTCCTTTCCTTTCCTTTCCTTTCCTTTCCTTTCCTTTCCTTTCCTT